CTGCCGGTAGACCTCAGCGAGATGCTTCCCTTCGAATGTTGCGGAAGAAATACGTGATCAGCCGGATGACCATCGAATGCACAATATATAGGAACATCTGTAGTCCTTCGTGCCCAAGTTCAGTTGGCTAAATGGTGTTTTTCAATAGGAAGGAATATATTGATTGCGAACTCGGGAGACAAATGTAGGCGTGTGTATGTAGGAATGTGACTACAGCCCTATATAGCAGGAGATTTTCCCTCATTTAGCCAAATGAAGGCGGGCATGGGGCATGGGCACGGTGAAGAGCTGAGGGCTAGCGAAACCATTTAGCTCTCCTGCCTGTATGCCTACCGAAAAAAACACGCACCTCGGGGATATCTCCCACATCTGTCAGGGAATAAGACGAGAAATGAACTACTTCGGACGCCGAATGCGGAGTGGTTATTTTGTGGTACCAATTATCATGGGCATGGGTGATGTACGTGGTATCATCGCCATTGTCAACCTGTGAGGAGGCATGCAGATTGGGTCTAGTATTCGTGCTCGCGTCCAAAGGTGAAAGGGGAATACTTAGTAGTGATTCATAAGAATCGGGCATTCGCGCCTTTCGTGGTGCTATGCCATGCGAATCATACTGCATCATATGGGAAGCCGATGGATAGGGCAAGACGTCCTGGGAGCTAGCAAGCCTGCGTTACAGAGTGATGAGCTCATCCTTACCAGATCATGACTGAAGATACCTTACAGTGCTGAATCCGGATGGTGGGCACGTCCTTGAAGTTGGGATGAAGGGCATAAGGTCTTCCCTGGGAAGCTTGCACTCCCATTCGTGGTGTCGGCCGCCACCTCGCTGGCCACCAATTCTGTATGCCGTGAAGCCGCAGCCTTGGGCCAGGCGCACTATGAAGAATGAGCTGGAGTCACTCGGATGCTAATGTGAAGCAGACCCACGCGTATTCCGCTGTAAAGGCAGCGTTCGCAGGCGGGCTTGTGCTCATCGCACTAGCATTGAAATTTGGCACGGGCGTTCGCCGATACCTGACTATCCTGCGCACCTTGACTTTCTTCTTCCTACAGGTCAGACACCCAGTATTGCTGCGGGTGAACTTGCGCCTCCCACGCTGTGATGGCGGGAATTGTTCATACGTGACACGTCTTGTCGCATTCACATTTGCGTCTATCGCGTAATGCGGCGACGGAAATTCGTACGCCGCGTGATGACGGGTGGTTGGACTATGCAGAATGTTCACGCAATCGTGGAATACACTCCGGACGACTCACGGGCAGTTGTTCAAGGGTCTGGTCATGGCAAGTGCAGCCAATGTTGGGCCCTGTGTGCAGGAGATGGTCGTTGAGGAGAGAGAAGGCGCCTAGCTCGAAGGATGACATCTCGTCATGCACGTCTACATCATCATGGATACCGGGACTCAATCGAGGGGCGCCCAAGCTGTATGTAACGCGCAGTACATTACAGTAGTCGCTCGAACGTTGAAGTCAGCTCTAGTGTCAGCCCCTCTGGTGACAGCTAATCAGTAATCGATAGGCCGTCGCGCGGGGAGGGGTCCCTGTGGAGCCTCATGCTTGGCCTACCGTATTTGGTACAGGTGCGAGATCGCCGTAGGCCGCGACCGTGCTGCCCAAGGGTCTCACGCACTCGCAGACACCGACTTTGCAAAAATATGTGCTTCCCCTCGACTACATTTTCTGACCGTAGTCTGACGCGCCGTTGGTACGCGTACAGGCTCTCTGAGCCAGTACTATGAGGCCCAGCAGAGACGTAGCCGGAGCGACGAGTGAGCTGGTGCTCAATGACCGGCCGCCTGCACAGCCTCACGCCCGAATAAGGTAGGCCGAGACGAAGGCCCCACAAGCACCCCGCCTCGCGCGTCGGCCTATCGATTCTTGATTAGCTAGAATTGATGGCTGGGGCGGCGGGCTTTTTTACCCCGTTCCCGACTCTCAGTCCCGATTGTGTCGACAAAATATCGTTCACTACCCGCCAACCGGCATATGCAGTCGTCTTGCGATGAGAAGCATGAGTGTCCGCAGCTGTAGTTCAGGAAGGGCCAAGACAAAAGACAACTGTCGAGAAGGCAGTTGCCTCGTGTCCTGTCGCATCATGACGGTCAGTTTGTTTCAAGATTCGGGTTCAATTCCACCCCGCGCATTCCCAATCCCACACCCAGCATTCCTAACCCGGACTGCCGGCCCCTCTCCCCTTCTCTCCCTCCCGTTCCGTTGGCGGAGCTATCAAGCACTCAATCGTAGCTCTCTAGCGATGCCCATCGAGTGGTCAGAGCGGGAGGGAACCGGAGGAGGTTGGGCGAGGACGCGGCGGCTTCGGGGCTGCGGGCTCGGCTGACGCGCCCACGTGTTTTGCCGCGTGTGTCGCAGAACGCGTCGCGATTGCCCTCTAAGCTCTATTCCTGGACCGCTATCCTGCAGTACTCCAGTCTCTTCTCCTATGTAAGCCTGTCAAACATTTTTAATGTATGAAATCAATTATCTTCTCTCGAAACACGGGTTTAAGGCTCTTATCCGGTAACTTGGATCCCCGAAGGCCGTCTCATCACGTTGTATGGGGTCGAGGCAAAGCAAAAAAGGCTACAGGTATGTGGCTAGATACCGAACGAACAGGAACAGTACTGGCGAGGAGCAGAGCGAGGCGAGCGCGACGCGTTCTGCGACACACGCGGCAAAACACGTGGGCGCGTCAGCCGAGCCCGCAGCCCCGAAGCCGCCGCGTCCTCGCCCAACCTCCTCCGGTTCCCTCCCGCTCTGACCACT